TTTAGTGTGCCCTAGGGGCGTATACAAATGGGCGTGTCAATGCAATTACAGTCCAAACTGCAGTCGAGTAAAATTTTGAGGCGCACCACCCACATTTCTAGGCGGATTTCTATACCAGCTGACGTCATTGCGAAACTGAACAACAACAAAAAAGGCGACTTAATTCAAATTCAAGCACAATTATCACACGCTACTGCGGCTTCGGGTTTTCGACTGAATAATTGAGGAAACGCGAAAACCAGCTGCAAAAATGTTTATGCACTGGTCTATCAATTAGGTTGAAAATTGAATAAAAACGAGAAAACATTTATCAAATTGCTGCAAAGACTGCGGATGCACATTTTCCAATAATTATTGAGTGCAATCATTGAGACGATTATAGTTATAGTTTATAGTATTCCAAGTGGAACACAATTGCTCAATCGCTTTCAAATACTTGTCGAAGTATTCATATTATTCATGTTATTCGTGTTTCAACAGTCATTTCGAATCAATGCACAATTACACAGTGAGTGTGTGTTAATGCAACATGTGGAACAGTATTTAATTAGGTCTCGATTGGGCAAGAAAAGCAAACCTCGTAATGGGATTGTGGTACGAAAGCAGGCAAAAAACTATTGATTAACTTGTCATTTTTTGTTATTGGTAATAAGATTTGCAGTAAACTTAAGCAAATAATTATGCAGTAATATTTGTGTTTAATAAATTAGTAAGACAGCTTTAAACTATATAGTTGAATACAAACAGAATTCGCTCTTAAAAACTAGTTTTGAGATGCTTCATGTAATTCTATAATAATTCAAACCTATATTCAGAACCACTTTTAAATTTTCGCCTTAATTTTATTTGTTTTTGTATTTCTTATAATTTTTCAAATTTATTATTTCTTTCACTTTGCTATTACCTATGACAATTGATTAAAATTCAAACATTGTTTGAGTCTCTTCCATTTCAATTAAAACTTAGCTTGGCATCTACAAATTTGCAGTTCTCTCAAATATTTGATTTGAATTTGTGTGCCACTTGAGAGCACAAATGCAATTTATTATCACAGAAGGAAAATGTTCATTTTCATTTGACTTTTCCACCCCAAACTCAACGTTAAAAGACGAGAACTCAACAATAGTTTGCCCAACTAATTCTGTGGTTCTATTGAAAGCTCGTGATTTATTGCATAATCAAAGCTTAACCCTTACCATTTCCATGAAAAACACTCGATACTCGGCAGTAATTGAATTTTCCCAGTCAAGTTTTTGGGCACTCGAAACACTTTTCACTTTACATCAATTATCTGGCACTGAGCGCAGCGTCGTAAATGTCAGTAAATGAATTGGGAGCCGCTGAATGTTGTCTCTTTCTAAGTACTTCTATCTCTTTCTACTCATATTTCTCTAGCTATTTGCTACATTCTCACGGCCAAACACAGTGGGCAACACGTAGTTACAGGCAAATGGCTCTTAATGAGTTTCTAATTAATTTTTGTTTACGCGGCAATCAAGCGCTTCGAGTGGCCCAACAAGTGCACTGAACCCTGATGCCCATCTAGCCGAGTGAGAAATCAAATAGGGAATACAATAGAACAGACGCCGTCTCATTGTTGAGTGTCAAAATGCGGACCCAACCTTCGCGCGGTGCTGGCAAATTGAGCTGAATTGAAGCGCGGGTCGCCCGCCCTCATAAAGCGCGGAGTACCGGATTCATAACTCATGCTTGCAACAAAGTGAGTGTGTGTTGCATGTGCAACTATCAGCATTATGATCAGCAACAACTACAACTTGTTGCATTTGCAACTATGAGGGTCAGAGTCAAAGTTCAATAAAATCCAATTAAACTGGCGCAGCGCCCTCCTACTCCTCCTACTCTGCCTAGTTATGCGCCCGCAGACCTTTCAACACGCTTGCCCCCCTTCCCCGTGCTCGTAAATCTGAACGCCTGCAACCTGCCTGCCTGCCTGGCTGCCCCAAAATTAAAGACTGTGAGAGAGCTGCAACAAAGTTGCAAAGCTGCAAGCATTTGATTTAATAAAAGGCAACGTGAACTTTCACCGGCGGCAGCCTCGACTTTTTCCTCCACTTAGTTCAATTGAATTTTGTTGCGCTCTACGCCTGGGTCATTAGCTGCAACGTGCAGCGTGCGGCATGCTGCAACTTGGTTGCGCCTTAAATAATATACAGGCATTCTCTTGCTGCGCTCCGCCTTAATTTACTTTGCTATTTTTAGCATATTTATTGCACCGCACAAAAAGGGGGCCAACTATGCGGTTACCAGAGGTCAATTTATGTCTTGTTATTTCCTCCTTGCATGCACATAAAACCCACCCTCCCATTCCAATGCTCCCCGGTTTAACGACAGTTACTTCCGTCGACCACGACTCTCAAGAATTCTCGAACTCTTCGGTCGCAAGTGGTTTACTTTCTGCCATGCGTCATAGTTGAATGCTTTAACTAAAGAGCTGGTTAAGTGAATGGAGTGTGGTCTCAAGCATGAGTAACATTTATCATTAATGCTCAGCATATAGTTTACTTAAATTTGGGTTATTTTTCGGTCGTAAAGTTGCGAGTACGTGACATCAAACTAACAACTGCTTAGGAATTTTATAGAATGTGCGCTTTTATTATAATAGCAAGAATACTTAAAAGAAATATGTCTATGGAGCACTTTCGGTAATCGAAACTGAACTAAAAGAAATTACACACTTTTTTACACACAATTAATTACGCACGCCAAGTTTGATCTGGCGACTTCTCGCTTACTGGTCCGACGCTCAGACAGCTGTATGTTGCTGTAATGGAGAACTTTTGCTAATCGAAACTCAAATATATTTAACTAAAATAAATTACACAATGTTGATATTGTTTATGTTACTCACGTCAAGTTTGATTTGGCGACTTCTCGCTCGCTGATCCGACGCTCAGACAGCAATATGTTGCCATAAGCGTTCTCATTATTTTTAAAATTGCCCCTATTAACTATCTTCTAGTGTGTATTGCTGGCAGATTAATGCGCTACTTTCTCCCCCAGTCACAAGCGCATCTTCTAATCGCTGTAATCCTTTCAAGTCTTCAGTAGCCGCTTTGTCATCCATCACTTGCTGCAGCGAGCTCACATATACACACTGCACACTCAATTCTGTTGCATTATTTAAATTTTGACTCACGTCACTTGAACTCAACGCCCCACTCGAAAGTTGCATGCCCCGTTGTGCTGGCTCTTGAAACACTATCACAATAACACATCATTTGTCAGGCAAACAAATGATGTTGCATGTAACCTTATCATCTCATATCCGTTGCAGACAGCGGCCAGTGTTCGGCGTGGTGGCAACACCTAAGGTCAAGCGCTAAGGTTAGACGTTGGCAAAGAGAAAGCCACGACACAATGCAGAGTGCCAAGAGTGCGGACAGCAGACGGACGGTAGACGAAGACAGACCTTAGACGCAGCTCTAGTGGACAGCAGCAGGACACAGAGGACACAAAGTTGCCTGCCTTAACAATGGCTGCTAATGAATAAACATGGCGTCGACTTTACTTCCGCTCTAGCATTAAATACTCTCCATTGTAGAGGGTATTTAGATTTTGTCATAATATTGAGGAGATATGGTCGTGTATTTTGATCTGACTGTAGTAAACTGATACGAGAGACGTTTTCTTTTCTTATATACACTACTATTTATATATTTAAACGAGTTTCTTCCGACTGACTGGCTCGTAAGAGCTAGAAAGCTGAAATATTTATTGAATCTTCAACTTGGTATAAAAAACATGGCCAAGCTCCTGCGTTGCTTGCCTACCTAAGTGTCCGACTAACAAGCAAGTGGTTGCCGGTTCGAATCCAGAATTAAATATGATAAACAAACATTTATATAGTATGTTTCTATTGTGGCTAAAGTTTTTGGAAGCTACGGAATTACTTGCATAGTGTGAACCGGGCAATGCCTAGTAGTTTATTCAGTGACACATATTCGACAAAATTTGTCAGCTAAGAACTTTAAAAGTGAATAAAATTCTCAGCAACATAATTGTATTATAACTTATATGAACTTAATCCAACTGGCATAGAAAGAACTTATCAAACGTTAGGGTATTCACTGTTCGGCTTGCCAAAATCTGTTCCTTTTCATTCTGTTCTGTTTTTGAAAGTTACGTATACGCCATGAGTTGGCTGCGCAAACAAGCGACAAATTTATTGGAACAACAACATTGAATGTCCCATGGCGCAGCACGGACAATGTTTCGCCTCATGTCCATGTATTCCCCAGTCTGAAGTGGACATCATCGTGTCTGTGTTGCTGACATTGACGCCTCTAATGATCAGTGTCGTAGTCGACGTCGCCGCCTGACAAGTTGTTGTTGTAAAATGCTGTCACGCCCCCACACACACCAAATGAATTTGGGTATTCGATGGCTAGGCTTTGTTTATCCCATTTAAGCTTTTAATGGCAAAATGTGGGCAGTAGGAGTAGCAGGCGACCAAGCGAACTTCCGCCGGGGACTCAGTCGTGTTCTGGCCACATAGGGGGCTCAGACCAAACCGAGTTAACTGCAAGCCTTGTCAGCAGCAGCACATGGCTTACGACAGTCCATTAGGAATGCGTAGTAAAGATACTTTTTGAAGTCAAATTTAATAGTGTTGGGAGTTTGCCAGCTGATAAAGCGAAAGTTTTATTCGCTCGACTGTCAAAGCAGTTCAATTGAAATCGAAAGACAAAGTTTGAACCTGCACTGATGCCTAGTTGGTCTGAAAAGTTTGTGTTGATAGACAAGCAAGTGTTCAACGCTAAACTTATAAAAAATCAATGAATGGTCATTTAAGACACAAAAAATCTTGTAGTTCCCAAGTCGTTTTAGAGTAAAATAAAATAAATAAAAATTGGAAGGAGGTCACGAATAACTGAAGAGGAATTGTCAAAGATTATGCTCAAGATAGTTAGAATTGTAACATACTTTATCTAGTCTCCAACCTGTTTTCTAAACTCTACCAACTTTTTCACCACTTGTAGAGTATTCCTCAACACGCATTGGGCACAACAGTAAAAATAAATAATATATAGCAAGCATGATCAGACGACGAAGTACAATCAACAGCATGAGCTGTACAACCAGTTCCCTCTTGGGCCTATCAGGCATTGGGCTGCTATTCGCGTTGCTGCAGCTGCAGATTGCACCCAGCCAGGCTCATGTACATCCGGTGCTCACATACAAGAACGCCTCCACGCAGCTCGGCCAGTTGGTCACGTCGAGCACCTTGGTTTGGGAGAGCTACGACCCGAAGGATGCCAAGCAGATGCAGTCAGCCGTCGAAGGCGGCAAATACATAACAGAGGATGAACATTATCCCATCTATGTTTGCCGCGTGACTATCGATGGTGTGCGCACCTCTGGTCATACCGAGAAGGTGCAGCAGAAGCACGTGTGCGTTGCCGCGCTCTACAAGCACAGCATCAACGAGCACTTTGATGTGCTGATGAATAGGGGACATCTGGGCAAGATCGCTTGGAAGCACTGGACCAAATTCAACGCGGGCATACCCGTAGGCGCCATACAAATCGGCGACGATTCCTACATTGGACGCCATCGCGCGGTGCATCATGCGAATGCCGAGGGCGGAGAGACGCATCGTGGTGCCGACTACAATCTGGGCAGACTGGAGCCACTGGGTCTGGGCAAGATCAAAGTGGCGGAGAGCGAGGGCGAAAAGTACTACGATGAGGGCGAGGTGCTGGTCGAAACAGAGCCCTTCAGCTACGAGCTGCGCGACATCAAGCTGGATCGCCTGCGCACCACACTGCGCGAGAACATGACCGAGCTGGGTGAGTAGAGCATCGGGAGATGCCCAGGATTTTTTATGACTAAACACACCACTTTCCACTTTTTTAGCCAGCGGAATTCTGGAGAACCGTGGCGAAACCTACGACACCATGGAGAAGGTGATGAGTTACAGCTTTGACTATCTGCAGTACTGGGGCTCACATGAGGGCGTTGCCAAGGGTCTGCCCACCAAGATATATGAGAAGAATGGAGCCGCGCCGGCCGAAATCAATTGGGCACTGAAGCGCGGCGAGAAACGCCACGAGAACAAGGCTGTCTACAGTAAACTCTGGCCGGGCACGGCTATCAACGTGACGCTGCGCGGCAACTATGTGACCCTGGAGGCGCCTTACACCGCCAAGCTGTCGGCTTTCTACTACGACAGCGAGAGCGTTTCGCGCAAGATCAGCGCCGAGGTATGTGCTACATATATATTCCATCGCTTTGCCAGCTTAATCCTTGTCCAATCCCTTGCAGGTGCGCAAAAGCTACTTGAAAGATGTCAAAATGGAGTTCAGTCCCGTCTATTGGATTGAGAATGGCACCGTCGTGCCAACGACCACCACCACATCGACCACATCGACAACGACACATGCGACTACCACCAGCACCAATGAGCCAACGCCCATACACGAGCCGCCGCTGGTGCGTGTCGAGCATGTGGGCGTTAAGCATTCCGGTCCGGATTCGCTGGAGAAAACGTTAAATGATTCAACCGCAACCAACGAGATCAGCTCAAATGAGGCGCCCGAGAATATGTCCTCCAAGGACGCAGCGCTCGCTGGCTTCGGTATTGGCGGCGGCAACAATAAGGCGCCAGCCACAATAGCCGCAACAGGACTTGCTGGAGTCGTCGGCAGCAGCATAACGCTAATCTTGATGCTGTCAAATCTGTAGATGGGTTGGCCAGGGCCAGGTCTGTGGCAGAAGGGTCTACCCAATTAGCATAGCGTTTAATTGTTGTTGTTGTACCTGTTGTACCCGTCTTTGAGAGCGTGTCGCGAGCGTAGAGAGACAGACACACAAAAGTGGAAAGATAGACAGACATAATATTTATAGAACGCCCAAAAAAATATTTAAAAAAATCAAAAACCGGTTAGCTTTCTGTGTGGGTGTTCATTGGATGTTAGAGGCGAACAAAAGTTGATATTTTTTATACTTGTCCCCCAATGCCTGCTTCTTCTTCTATCTCTACATATATATATATATATGTATATATATATATATACCGTAGTAGCAAAAAGAAATTGAATTTTAAGAGACAAACATAAAACATTCCTAAACTAGCCCCTCACAAAAGGAAATGAATCAAAAGTACATATATATACACAAATACAATATATATATATATATATGTATATGTTTATATAGTCCGATAAACAATATTGAGCATATTTTAAAGCTGCTTTGCATAGTTTCTTATCCTCATTTTCCGGCTTTTTATATTAGTTTGTTAAGGCGCTAAAGCATTCACAATAAGCTGTAGGAAAAGTAAATGAATTATTTGATCGGTCGTTTGATAGAGGGTTGATATAATATACGCTCTATGATATGATGTATATGTCTAAAATGTAAAATCTATGTAAAACATAAGTATATGTATATGTATGTTTAAGTGAAACACTCCAAATATGTAAATTAGTTACTAATTATTTTCTTTTATGTGCCCGCGTCCCCCCCTCCTCTACCCAACCAAAACTTCGGCTATATTTTGCTCGTATACACTTCTTAGTTTAACATACTCATATGTCTTGTATTTTGTTTTCGAAACTGTGTTGAAATTCCAAAAAGCAAAGAATCTCGTAAAGCTCTAATTTCGTTTAAAGTAAAGCAAACAAAAAATAAAGCTTGTACATTGAAATTGTTTTAAATTTACGGTTGGCTTACAACTATTGATTGACAGCTAGAATTTACTTTTAATTTACCAACACTTTTCATGCCTTTACTTGTAATTCAAGTTAAAAATCAATTGGCTGCATAAATCTTACTTTACACTTCATTTTAATTTTAGTTTAAAGATCAGTGTTGGCTTATACACTTTACTGCTGGCACTTACTGTTAACTTTCCAACACTTTTATTCTATTTGTTTTCAAAACTCTTGCCAAATAATTCATGCAATCAGCTGCCTAAACTTGTTAACTGAATTAGCATTGATTTTGAAAGCACTGACTCAAGCCACTCGATCAAACTGCTGTGTATATGAAATGATATGATATGATGTGTGTGTATGCTGTGTAAACATTCGATTGCCTTGTATACCAAATGTTTACAGAACTTGACATTTAAAAGTTAAATGTAGCTGATGGATAGGTTTTGTAATGTTTTGTTGCGTTTCGTTTTTCTTGGACATGGAAATTGCTTTTAACACGAAAGAGGCTAAATTAAATCTTTTGTCCAGGGGCTAACTTCATGTGAATCTACTAAACAACTAATTTGAGGGAGAATTAATACTAAGTGATAATTTTGTTGAATATTCAGATTTCTGTTCTATGGAATTCGTATATGACTGCGCCAAAATCACTTCGAACTTAGGAGTTTTGTGGTAAGACCAAATCTTTTTATTTTTTTACGTATGTCTATTGCCTATTAACTTAAGAATTCTTGACCAATATCTTAAATGAACAATCAACAGACACCTCAAAACGGTTTCTCTAGACACGATCTAAGTGGCTTCTAATTATCGCTATGATATATGCCCGACACAACGCGCCATTAGGCTCACATTTATTACCCAATTACAACACCTGCACCTGATTTTTTCTAAATACTCTGTGAATATACTGACAAGGAGGCATATTCATTTTATTTAACCTTTTGGTAACATTGTCAAATAAGTCAAACGTTTATAGTTATTCGGGTACTAGAAGGCGGGCAAGCCGAAAAAATCTGTAGCTTCTCATATTGCGGCTAATATGGTTGATATTTCCTATCTTTACAATTTGAGAATAGAGAAAAATTAAGTATATTTGGATTAAAGATTTCCAAGTACTTTGTGAACAGAGCATAGCGCAGTCGTGTTCACCCGTTTGCTACTAGTTTTTTTTTTCTATTATTTATTTCTTTTGTCAGCCAATTACAGCAAACAGTTTGACAGTTAGACAGCCAAACAATGGGATAAAGCCAGTTGGTTGGATGTAGATAAACAACAGATGTCGTCTATTAGTCATACGCGTTCTGAGCCCAAAAGATATCATAGACCGGCTCTGCGAGGCACGCTAATTAACAACAGCACGCAATTCGTAATTTTGTTTATATTTTATGCGAGCTTTTGTCAATTTAAATAACAAATTAGCGAATGGAACTGCCATGCAGTCTGGCCGGGGTCTTTCGATTATAATGCAAAGCACGCTGAGCCGCGGCTGCGATAATGATATATGTCTAGATACATATGCATATATACATGTGTGCACCTATACTTATCGCGGCTATTACTACGATTTTTTATTACACTTCAAATCAAGTGTCGGTTCTGCGCCGTTGCGAACATTAAACAAAAGGCCCACCGAAAAAGCGGTTTTATTTTGGATTTTTATGGTTTTTGGAATTTTTTGCCTGTTTTTTTTTTTTTTTTTTTTTTTTTTTAAATTGGAATTTGCGTTAGTTGTTTTTGGTGTTGGGCTATAAATATTTTTAAAGCGTGACCACATGAAATCGCTTTTTCTAAACGGGTTCCCAGCAAATGCCAATTGAACTGCTGCCGCTGCTATTGTTATACGGGGGCGTTGGTAACTGGGCGTGGCTGCTGCCCAATCTTATGGCTCGAAGCCCGGGGCACGTCTCGGATTTACAAAAGCGCGTGTGTTGCGCCACTTTTTGGGGCGGGCAGAGTTGATTAACCCCATGAACTCGTGCTGTGAACCGCCAACTGGCAGTTGCTGCTCGCTTCTCATTAGCTGGTTAATATATCTGTACGGAAAGTATGCTGCCAAGAATGGCAAAAGCTTTGAATTTGATATATTTCCAGTTTCTAACTGGCTATTTAACGTGCCAGATGATGATAGCATTCATTTACACGGCTTGTCCGAAGGTACTTGATTCAGCCCTTGGTTAATGCTTTCAAAGCGCCTCGAAGTAAATTAATTATCAGAAATCCGGACTAGGTTGTATGCTTGAACCATTCGAAAATGGCTAAAAAAAACTGGCAGAAGGAAGCATATCCGACCTCATAAAGTATATATATTTTTTTTATCAGCATCAATCTATCTGTCTGTCTGTCCGATCGCCCTTCTGTCCGTCCGTCCGCATGTATGAACGCAAGCATCTCGGAACCTTAAAGAGCTGGAGACTTGAAATTTGGGTCGTAGGGCCCCATTCGAACCGATAACTTGCCCTTTTCCAAAAGATTAATTAAAATCTATATCGAAGGTCTGTTCATAAAGGGACTATCTTAGGTTTTAAGAACTCGAGTCACCAAATATTAATTCTAGAATAGAATAGACAGATCATGCATAGGAATATTCTCTCGCATTTGGATTTGATTGAAGAAGGTTCAGGGGATTCACTTTCTAATAGAGCGCTAGTTTAACATAGTTTCCATTATCGAAATAATTGAAAATTAACGCAATATTTAAACCGTAAAAGCAAGCAAGCTAAATTGTTTATATTAGTTTATTGATATTTATAAATAATATTATTTTTTCTTGCGTTTGGTATATAAATAAAATATTCAATTAATTTGTGGCTTACTTTCGATGAAAATTGCAAATCAAAATTGTTTTTAATATATCAAAGCCAAATGCTAATTGACTGGCAAACAAATTCAAATATTCGTTTGTTGCGGTCAACGTTGCTTTTTGTTTATTTTTCTGCATAAATTGAAAACAATTTCAGCGCATTTATCGCTGCAAAATAATCTGCATATATTTAATGCGCCCTGTTGAGGATGAGGTGCATCTATCCTGGTCCGCTCGTCGCGCTGCTTGGCTGGCGCGTTCGTCTAACCAAATTTTATGCATCGGTACGCTGAAACAAAAGCCGGCCGCAAAACCACCTGCAACCCTTTCGTTTCACGGCTTTGGCTACGGCTTTGACGTGTGTTAACTGAATTTTTAAACCGGCCGGTTTTGCAGCTTGGCAGCCTCGAGGCTATCGGCGTGCAATCTGTTTACTGCATTCAGGCGTAACAATTGCCCGAGGTGACTATGACCTCTGTATCCGTGTGTGTGTATGAGTGTGTGTGTGTGTTTGAGTGCACACTCATGAATATGAATTTGAACTGCACTTTGCACAATTTACGTGCAGCTTCGTTGACGCTGTTTACGCTTCATAATTTTATATATATACCCTACATCTATCGAAAAGGGGCTTAATGACATAGTAAAAATGTACGTACCAGGGAAAAGTTTGAATCTGCAAACATATAAAATATATATGAATATTCTTGAATATAACATCAACAGCGAGGTCGAAATAAAGGTTCCTATGTACTTTTCGCAGATGGATAGAACTTATATAAAATTATGGATAACTTTGAGAAGGATTAAAGGTTGCCATAGGTCATTCAAATATATAACTTATTACAAGTTATCGACAACGTTCGAAAATTTTCAAATTATCGATGAATACCTTCTTCAAATTACCGTTATATTTTTATAACATTTTAATTAGTGCTAACATTCCATAGTCCTTAAATTATATTTTGTGTTCCATATTGGGCAAAAAATCTATAGATTTCGATAATATTTGGTTATTATCGATACCATTCCGCGATGGGCTGCAAATACCCAAAATATCAAAGCATACATTTCCCATAATGCGGGCCTAAATAAGAAGCATCGCGTGTGTTTGTGTAAATGTGCAGGGTATTTCTTATTCGGTCACTATCGCCCAGAACACTCTTCCTGGTTATTATAGGTATTTACAGAAGCTGACATATTGTATCCTATTATGTGGTGTGATAATGCCTCCGTGTGGTTCCAGATATTTATTGCCTTTGGGATAACCATTGGCAGTAATGTAAAATACCCTAGACTGCGTGAAATAAGGGGGCATATTGTTTGAAGCTAGGCGTGTTTAATATATGTTTATTTACAGAAAAATGTATATCTGAAATGTGGATAGGTTTTCGATAGATGTCCTAGGAATTTGTTGATGCTGCGGTGGTCACGCTAAACGTGCTGGCCACTGTGCTGCTGCTAGAAGAGTTAGAGCTTGTGGAGTTGCGTGAGCCCTGGCCGCCTCTGCCCGAGCCCTGTTGGCCACCCTGGCCGCCTCTTGGTGCTCCAAAGCCCTGGCCGGCAGCTAAGGCTAACAAGCCAATAAATACCATGAAAATAGTTGAGATACGCATTTTTTTGCTCTGACAAACAGTTTAAAACTGACTTAAGCTCTTTGGCTAAACTAGGCCTTATATAGTAGAAATTTGGGCAAAGATTAAAAGTACCCAACAGCTGCTAAAGTCAAGCTCTTTTGTCTATACAAATTTGAAGCTTGTTTGTTTTTCTATTAATAGCGAAAAATAAACCCAAGTCCCGCTGGCTTGTTTTTATTTTCTGGTATTTAACCATTACGTCAAAGCATAAATGAAACTGCGAAATTACGAATTACGAATTACGTCAATAACTGATTTTTACAATATTATTATTTATTTTATCTAATCAAATAAATTCAAATTTATAATCAAAAATTGACAATTAAATGTGATGATAAATGCATTGCGAGCCGATAAATCGATCCATTATTAAACATAACTAAAACAGAACTAGATACATCTAAAAATATATTAAAAAAATATTCAACGTGTATTTTATGGCAGCTGCAAAGCAACATTTTTAATTATAGTTCTTAAAAAGTTCACAAGTCAAACGTTTCGAAAATAAATTAAATTTCAAATGTAATTATCTTGT